AATCATTCCTTCTCCGTGTAACTTCAAACACCAATTCACATGGTATTTCTCCAAAGCAATAAATTAAATTGAAACTTAGGTGCATTTCCTCAAAGGCAGCGTAGAAAGCCATTATGCCAACCAAATCACCGTAGGCTGTATTATATTAATCAACTATTACCTAGGTGAACACATTTTCCCCAAGCAAGGCATAACTGCACCAGTTGTTTTTCTGGGGGACAATTTCTCAACAGAAGTATTAGAGCAATTTCTCCTTGGGTTATTTTTCTAGGCAGAGAAGCAGCTTGTGTGATAATTAAGGGGAAAGAGCAGCCACATACCTAGTTCTGTGAAGGTGTCTCCAGTTCTTCTGTAAGTGCTCCGAGATCCTCCAAATATTCATCTTGCTGAAGAAAAGGATTCACTGATAAAGCTCCCAATTGACTGAGGGATGACCAGGAAACACAGCTGGTTTCAAACAGAATGGTGTTTAAAAGGAGTACCTGAAAATGGCTGAAAGCTAATCTGGTCTTCTCCCCGCAGCCTTCTCCATTTCAGGGGTGTGGTTCAGTGGTAGAGCATCCGGTTTGCACGCAGAAGGTACCAGTCAGTGACATCTCCATAGGAAAGGCACAGGGAATGTGAAAGACACCTGCCCAAGAACTGCTGCCGGTCAGAGTAGACAATACTGACCTTAATCAAACAAAAGGTCTGACTCAGTAGAAGGTACTTCATGAGAAATCCTGAGCAAGACCTAAATACTTCTATTTGTTCCTCTTAAGAAACCTCTGTCATACTATATGTGTGTTCCCACACAGATCCCTGCTTAAAACTGCTCTAGGTACTACCGATATGAGTTCAGAAAAAGCAGAAGGTCTATATTTCCAGTTTGGGATCTATTTTTACACTGTGGCCTGGTTGCTGTGAATAACCACTCAACTTTGGTGAGACATTTACTTGTCAGCTGATCCATCCCAGCTGACTGAGATTACAAGGTGTTTTTGTTAGAACAGGGAGCAGAATTTTCACACAGAGAACTCAGTCCCGCTTGAGACCTCTCCTCTGTATACAGCAGCCATAAACAAAAGGGGGGGAGAAGCAAACACAGTAGTGGGGAATTATTAGAAAGGGACTGGAAATAAAATGGCCAGCTCAAAATGCCAGTATGTAACTCCTTAGGACAATACTGTCCATAGCTAAGCTGAAGTTCCCTGCTGCCCATCTCAAAAAGAATATCAGAGATAGAAATGACGCAGAAGAGGTTGCTAAAGTAGTCCAGAGGATAATGTTAAATGTTTCTACGTGCACCTGAGGCTTTTCAGTTTAGGAAACAAAACATAGCTGAACGGAATGTGAGCTAAAGTTTATGAAATGATAAATGATGAAGTGAAAGGACAGAAGGAATTTTTCCTGTCTTGTAATACTAGAACTTAACAAAGCCCTTAGTAGGTAGAGGACCAAAACAGAATGCTAAACTGGGGCTGCGGTCACACGGAGCAGTAGCCACGCTACAGAGATGGAAGATAGGTGGATTTTCCAGGCGCGATCACAGCGCCACATCTGGGAAGCGTAGAGCTCCCATGGCGAACCCGAGGCTTCCTGCCGAAGATGCGGGGTAAAAAACTAGTACCTCCAAGGTACTAGTTTCCAGAAACCGCAGGGCAAGGGCAGGCGCCTGATTGCATTTCTGGTGGTAGGTCGTGGCATCCAGTGCCCGCCCATGTCCTGTCGCTAAAAGGTTTTTTCCCCCCAAGTCTCCACGGGATGCGCACAAGCACCCAACGGCGCATGCGCACACTTGTTTAAATACAAAAAACACGTCCTCCTCCTCTTTTCCATACCCCCCAACTCCTGGCTCGGCCTGCTCGAGAGGAACTCTCTGCACCGGGCAGCAGAGGGGGAGGTGCGGCCCGGCTGAAGCTCCTCCTGGAGCGGACTGGACGGAGGACACAGTTTGCGTTCCTCTGCAGCCCTGGAAGGGGTTAATCCTGTGGAGCCTTTTGCTAGGGAGGCCGCTTCTTTGCCGTGCTGCAGGATTGTCCTGTGATCGGCACCTCCCCCCTAACCACGGGACCTCAATCACAAGTGTTCCCACCACAGACAGTTCAAATGTGATTGGACACAATACTTTCGGCGCGAATCCTAGCCGACGTCTGAAGCTTAGCATAGCTTCTCTATGGGATGATTCACACTTCAACCCCATGCATTCAGGGCAGCATCTGAATACATTACACATTTCTTACGATTTGGACAACCAGGGCTTTTTTCTGGGGGAACGCGCTGGAACAGAGTTTTGGAACCTCTTTGGCAAAATTCTTTTTAAAATATTTAAAAGTTCATGAGTTTTCAGTATACGGATTGAAAGCTTTATTTCCCTCTTGAGAGTTCCAGCACCTCCCCCCCCCAAAAAAAAAAGCCCAGGACAAAACCACTTCTTGGTGTGCCCAAAAGAGGGAGGAGCTGTAGCAGAACCC